ATATATATATATATATACATACACACACACACACACACACACACACACACACACAAACACATCTATAGTTTTATCATTTTAAATAATCGATAATTTATTAAATATACTTATATAACATATATTATTTAATAATTCTATTTCATAATTTTTTATTTAGTTAATGTATATAATATACATTATATTTAAATTAAATAATCCATTAAAATTAATATAACAATAAATAAATAAAAAACTCTGCTCAATGTTATATTATATTTTTTATTTTATTTTAATGTATAATATATTATAATTTAAAATTCATATTATATTAAATTCAAATATGTCAAATGTACAATATAATACACATTTTATATTTATACCTATATATAACATTTTATTATTCAATTTGTAAATAAACCCATTTTGTATAATACTTTACAAATCGAATGCATTCTTCCACGTAAACGCTGTAAATCAGCCGTGTCCACTCACATCCACACAAACACATCTACTGCAGCGTAAAGACTTTACACACACGGCACACATACAGTCATAACACTGATGACACCACATGAATAATGTACAATCATCCAGTAACAATGACAGTCTGTCCAAAACAGACTCTGCACTCAACACAGTCCATATCAATCACCTTTGGGCTCTTAATTTATGCTAATGACATGCAAAGCCATTGTAGCTGATTGGTGGCTTCTTGCATCAGCAGCACGACTGCCAGAACTCTCAGAAACTTCAACTTTATGAATACATCTACCTCTCCACACAGCACAGCGTTCACTAAACTAAACACTTTTAACATTAACTACGGCTTTTCGGTCTACAAAGAAAGAGAGACCTATAGATCATCCAGTCTTTTTCTATCTCTTCTGACCCCGATTTGATCCGCTGACCCTCGTCTCTGACGGTATTGTGTTGTATGTGTGAGAGAGGCGTGTCGTTCAGTCTGTGACGGCTGAAGCTTCATCTCTGCTCAATAGCGGCTCAAAGACAGCACTTCTGATGAATAATACACAACCGCAGCTCTTGCTGGACTCTTCTCCTCTCACAAACATACAGCGGCACAAAAACGTGCTGGGAACCTCGAGTCAAGCCTGTCAAAAACACGTCCAGATCATACTGAACCCCAAAATCTAAGGAAACAAATAAGAAATTATATTTTGCATGAAGACTAAAAATTGTAAATGCTTCTAAAAATAGGTTCTAAATATTTTTTGTTATTTTAAAGTATGTATCTTTTTTACTCTAAACATACATGTTTTCATTACATATTTTGTTTGAAATGTGAAAACTAAAAAAAAGAGAAAATAAATAAAATAAAACACTTTTCCCATAAGAAGTTATAAAGAAGTTATATTTTGCATTAAAAAATGAAATTGTCCTAAAATAGGCTCATCTTCATTTTAAACTATATCTATCCTTTCACTTCAAACAAACATCTTTTCTTTAAATGTTTTGCTTGACATTTGAAAACTAAAAAAAAAAAAAAAATTAAAAAATACTGCTTGCTTTGATATTTTGTATTTACTATAATAAGATTCTTTTTAAGGCTGACCTTTTTCCCAAAATTAAACCCATTATATTTTGCATAAAGAAAATGAGGACATTTTTTTTTAAATGGTCCTAAAATAGGCTAAAAATATATTTGAAATTTGAAATTTGTTTTAATATTTTACAAGTAATAGAATGACATTTAGACATTTTTAAGAGTTACATTTTTGCCTTTTGCC